TTGTTTGTGTATTCATCCACACTGACTGCATCAAGGTCTCAGCTGCTGTTTGAACCACTGACCTTCTCGCTCGCATTTCTGGTTACCCGCTTAGGTAAGCACGAGCCATGAATCCCACTGCTATGAACCCAAGAGAGAGAGGCGCTTGGAAACTGTGATCAATTCCCGTGTCATCACAACTAGGACAGCGGCCTTATGTGCTGACAAAACCGAACCAAAGAGGTATAACTCACTTGATTAACTTGAGGCGCAAAATGTTAAACTGACTTTTATAAAGCCAATACCTCCTTCAACTCCAAATCCCATGATCCCTATGAGCACGGCGGAGGCAATGAGTCCAGACATATCCGTAGGGTTTGTGTTCCCACTGCAGTCATTTTGGGAATTAAGTGGCTTGGTTTATTGTATGGCTTCATGACCTCACTCAATCAACTCCTCTTTCTCCCTCTCTTGCCTATGTTTCCCAACCTCTGTCTTGTGTCTGATAGTGAGGGACTCTCTGTAGACGCACACACACACACAGCATAATACACACTTACACACACACATGGAAATCTCAGAGGCTATAGAAAGTAAACAGGATTAACTGGCTATCCCTCGCTCCACTGTAAACGGCCTGTAATGGCAGCACTGCTTCTAAATCCCTCCATCTCTTTCTCTCCCCCTCCCTCCCTCCCTTTTCTATTAAACATGGAGGTTAATCCTCAACCCCCCCCTTGTCCCTAGCGTCGTGGCCCAGGATAAGCTGTCAGAGCTGGGCTGCTGATACTCAGCTCTGCTCCAACAGCCACACAGCCTGGACACAGCATACGAGAGTGTGTGTTTGAGTCTCTACGTGAGCATTTTTGTGCGTGCACGCCAACATGTGTGTGTGCAAGGGTGTGTAAACGTGCTAACATCCATACCTAGTGGTCTGTGTTTGCATGTCTGGATGTGACTGGGTTTTTTATGGGTTGCCAAATTCAATCTGTCTCTCCCGCCTCTTTTATAGAATCCAATCTCCGCTGGAATAAAAAGCTAACTCTGGAGGACCCTAAAGCAACAAAGTGCACTCAGCGCGAGCCCCAGCAGCTCCCGACTGAGAGCCACCGACACAAACGCACTGACCCATACCTCCCAGCCCTGAGTACCGGGTCTAATGGTGGAACCGGGGCGCTGAGTGATGAATCACTAATGACTAACACACTTCACAGATATCATGAATGTCAAAAAAGTCAATGTGTTTTCCCTCCTAGCCCTCTTTCACTCATCACAGCAGACCTGCTCACTGTGGAAAAAGCACAAAGTCAATAATGCTCAATTGGAAGAGGAGTCACAGGAACCAGAAATAGCGCCTGGAATGACCCGTTCAGCTTATAGGTCGCAGCCATCATGGTTTTCCATATAATGGGAATTAATGTTTTCCCAAGTTCTGTAAAAGGTTCCAGACCCCTGTGAAGTAATTCAAGCTTTGAGGGACAAAATAATGAATAACTGCAGTTATTCACCTGAAGGCCATCATCTTTCTGACCCTCTTTACACTTAATAAAAAAAAAAAAGGGGAGGGAATATCCAGGGGAAATAAAATAATAACTCATGCAATATGACATAGAGATCCCTAGACCACAGGTCCAGATTATCTAGATAAAAAGTATATTCAGCACCTTTAGCATAGGCAGGGCGTCTTAAATTTAAAGGTGCAAGCAGTGTCACCCTTTCAGCTGTGTTGCTGGTGACATAAGCAAGGCAAGGTGCAACATGCTTATTCTAATTTGGATGGATTAAATGACTTGATCCAAGTGAAAGTTCAAGGCAGCTGTCACTTGGAATGCTCCATCCAGTACCTTTGCTTTCCAGTAACACTCCCTGCTGTGTGACCTTTTGACATTGTTCGAGTACTTTCTGCTTCACACGGACTTGAAACACTCTAGCCTACTCCTTTTTTAAAGGTACACTGTGCAGGATTTTCCTAAAAAAACAATGTATAGATGCATACAAAAGCAATACCTCAATCCCAAATCCTCAATAATCATTTACGACCCACTAGGAGTGTGTGACGGTGTATTCATCTGCAGAGACCTTTCCCTCTGCCTGTGTTTCCTTCTTATTTTGCTATGTTGGGGAGGTTCCTCCACATAACTAGGTTGTAACCAGGTGCCAGACTGTAAGCAGCATACATCTAAGCAGAGGCTATGCCAATCATGGCCACAGTGCCAAAGTGTCCTTCTTTATTACATTTTAAAAGGAGTCAATCTCCTTTGAGCCCAATGTGTTGTGAGTCCTGGTGAAACAGAAGCGTCTACAACATTCTTTGGATCCAGCACCTGGACATGAAAGACGTACATGTTTTTTGCACACCGACCACTCAAGTATTATCAAAGACAGAGTGCTGAATAGAAAAAGCATATGGAGAAAGACCATCCCCGATCATCACAAAGAGACAGACTTGTAAAGTTGGAGGAGCTACCATATTTCTGGCACCCTTGGTCCTGAAAGGGAATTTCCCATTCATTTTCTCTGGACAATGTTAAGTCACTTACAGTTGGAGCACTTCCATGGCTTGGACGGGCATGAAACTCTTCCGAATAGAGACACAAGTTAAACATGTCTGGTTCTTTGATAAAACTGTACAAGCCAATGCACACAAACACCTAAGGTGACGTTAACAATGACTCCTAAAGTGCATTTTGGTGCAAAAAGTACAATTTCTAAGCTTTAAATTGCATCATGTGCACCTTTAACAGTGATGACACCACCTGCAGCTTCAATAAACACACTTTTGGAATCTGGCTAAATTTGGCAGCTGTGATTGCCAACTGCAAGGAAGAAGAGTTTTAAATTTGGGAAAGCTCCAAGTTCTGATGACTGGCTACTTCTCCACAGAAATGGCAGTCGAGGCTTAGGGGTGTTTTGAGCCAATCATGAAGCCCGAATAATGAAAAAGAAACTGAAATAATTAAAACCCATAACAAAAAAACAAAGGATTGTGATGTTACCTGGTTGACACCTGTGTTTCTTTGTTGAGGAAGATTTAAAATGAGGAAAACTACTTTCAGAACCAGCAGCTCCTCTCGAATCACAGCTAACACTCAAATGGCCCTTTGCTATTTTTACACATTGGGTCTAATTGTTTTTTTTTCCTTCACGTGGCTTCGCACCCTCCAACAGGTGAAAACTACAGAAAACTGTATAATGAATAGGTAATTGTAAGCAATGCAAAGAGACAGAGACATTTCACATTAAAATAAATCAATCAAATCAACCCATCCTGTTGTTTAAACAATCTAATTAATTAATTCCTTTACAGTAAATATAGACTACACTTCCAAACCCTGCATAAACAACTGCATTACCACTTGGTTAAACTCAATAAGCACGCAGTGAAGTTGGCAGCAACCTCACGCTACAAAGACAGAGTCTGTATAGCAGGTAAAAAAACTATCCTCATGCAGTTTAGAGTCCAGTCCACCTGACTTTGCAAAGTGTATTCGGAGCATGAGACGAAACAAAGACCCCATTTTCATATTTGATGCAGAGTGTATGTAAGGACGAAGACATTTTTAACAGCAATGCAACAGCAGAGGGTAAATGCACAGCACCACTGAGTGCTATATGGAGGCAATGTTTTACGCTGAAAAGGTTACACAGGGATAGATGTCCACAGAAGTCCACAGCTCTTTATCTCAGCAACACTGGTTGTTAATGCATTATTACTTAGTGCGTCTCTGCCTCTCTCTTTTTCTTCTTCTTCCCCTCTCTCTTAGTTCTCCCTGCCAGCTGAGAGCCAGTCTGCCTTTTCTGTTTGGTCGAACATTTCCTTTTTAAAATCCTCCATTCCTCACAATCACTCTCCATTTCCGTGACACCTGGAGTTACCCCGCAGTGCTTACTGGGGATCTGCTTTGCTGGCTCCATTTTCTACACCGAACCATTAAGAGAGAGGAAATCACACAAAAAGCCCTCCCATAGATTAAAGTGTGTGACAACAAATTAAGGCAAACTCCATCTCCTTACACACCCTTATTATTTAATGTAATCACTATCCCCGTGGGCATTAGGTGCAAGCAAGCATGGAGACAAATTAACAGTCAAAGCTAAAGGGAACAGTTTGTGACCCCGGCAGTGAAAGAGCTGCAGCGTAAAGTGAGAACAACTGAAAGTGTTAACAAGGTGAAAAGAAGGATGAAGGAAGGAGGAAGAAAGGGAGAACTGATGAGAAGGCACAGCAGTGGAAAATATGGCTAAGAAGAGGCAAGTAAGTGGGTATAAATAATAGACAGGAAGGTGTGAAAAAATGGGGAGCTGATGTGGGGTGTGGGAAATTAATGAATAGGGGTTTGTTGGACGAAAAGACTGGCTAAGAGAGGAGGGTGAAATAAAAGCTGTCAGGTTTTTGGATGTCCATTAGCGCACAAACAGGAGAATGGGTCAATGTATCAGAACAGGCATTACCCCGGACTGCTAAAAAGCCTTCTTTAATCATGTCAAACACACGCTGCAAGCCACGTGAACTATTTATAGAAGTGCAGGTTTATGCGCTGCAGGCGAAATCGCACACAGACACAATAAAATCTCTTTCTCTCTCTTGACGCCTTCTTTCTTTCTCTCCCATCACATGGAAGTCCCTGACTGAACATCCTGACCTTTACCAAATTTGAGCTAAAAAAATAAAATAAAAAAAGTTGCATAGCGTGAGGAGTGACTGTCAATCAACGCATAATTAGACCAGCATGGAGACACTGATCAAAACAGCTTCTTATACTGTTATGATGTTAAACACTGATGGCACTGTTGAATCTGCACCCATCTTCTTCTTGTCAGCAGTGAATGGATATAAAGACAACTATATACAGACAATTAATGACAGTCTTAGCAGCCTGTTGTATTGCACAGTCATGTCTTCCTGTCAGGGATGCCATCTAAATCCATACTACAGTCAGCAGCTCACTGACCTGGCCCCTGGTGCCTTGTAAGCCCCCCAAGTCCCACAGAGTACATCAGGATACGCATAGGTGACTCACCGGGTCTTTAGCTTGCTGCGCTAACACGGCGTAGGTGGATATCCTGCTGCACAGGCATTTGGTGTGGACAGTGGTTGACGCGAGCGTTTGGCAGCCTTCTGTGCCCCAGTTTTCTGCGCCAGCTTCCCTGGAGGTGGGGGGGGGGGGGGTGTGGGAGGGTGGCACAGGGGACAAACAGTGAGTGTGAGACAAACACACACAAAGAGCTGTCACATGACTAAACACGTTCGTAGGAAGTTCCACCTCAAGGAAGGGGCGAGGGAGGGACAGAAAGTTTCAGAGGGCAGATCATTAAGTTCACCCATTCAATCCATAGGTTTAATATGCAGTCATCACCACTCACGCACACTGACAGGCTCTTTTACCCTGCTGGCATTAGAAGCCAATGTCACCCCACTTGTTCTTAAATCCTCTCCGTGTTTAGCACCCTAAACACTCTCTTTGTCATCTTTGTTCTGTCTTTTCTTCTTTCTATCCCTTCGCCTTTTTCTTGGAAGAATACCTTAAGAGACTTGAGGCCTTGAGGACAAATGAAAAGGGTTGCATCAGCTCACAGTTAACAAAGACCAGTGCGGCTTAAACGGTGGATGGGGATTATTCAGCACTAAATGGTCAATTGCTTTGACACGCAACACGTTACTCGGGAGGAGAGTGCCCAGAATCTCATACAATAGAACCTTGTACACTTTATTACTCTCCATCTTTCACCTCTTTCTTTTATTTGCCCCTCCCCTCTCCACTTTGCTCTAAATGCCCTCAATAGAAGGTTGAGTGCCGAGGTCAATCAATAAGATACCAACTTATCTAATTACCCCGTCAGCTCACACTACACATTAACCTCATGTTTAACCCTGGATATACTTCTATTCTAGTTATCAGAGATGGATGGAAACATTGTGGGACACATTAGAGCAGCTACAGATCAGGTGTCCTGTTGGGGTCAAGAATACTAGCTTCGTGTTTGATGGGCAAAGAGACAGCAAGGCACAATAAATAATAAGATTCTAGATTACTATTTTTCGTCAAAGCTAGATCAGTTTTGGGTATTTCAAATGAGTGTTGTCTTAAATTTGAGTGAACTATAATGAAGACGCTTTTACCTTTGATGGTTGATTTCAATGATATAGTAAAATATTACAGCTGTATTTTCAGAGGCTTTAAAAGTATACTGTAAATGAGTGTCAGTTACTGTTTGTGATGACACGTGCCAGCGAAAGAGAAAGTAAAAGCCAACCCCAGATTAACTCTCGTTTGGTGTTTTGCCTTGTTATATTTGCCTTTTTCTTCAGCGCTGTGTCTCTTGGATGTGTACTGCCTGCGCCTGGCACCTTGCTGCTACCTTTTAATGAAGCTCCAACCTCACCTGAGTGCTGTGGGGATACACACCCATTACCGTCCTGAACAAAGAAAATATGAGCATACAGACAGAGTGCAGAGTCTCTGCAGAAAAACACACCGTCAAACACACTTCCTGTGAGTCATAAGTGATGATTGAGAGGGATTACTTTTGAATGAGTTTATACAGTGTTTTTTAGGGAAATCCTGCATAGTAAAGATTTTACTGATTTTTAAAGAATGCAAAAAAGAAACCTTATACTCCTGAAAACAAAACAATTTCAGGCAGTTCTCATTCACTGTTTACACTTATGTCTACAAAAAGTAACGCACTAGAATTCCTGTACAACCCACATTATCATGAGCCAGGAGGGTTCGATCACATGGCCAATGTACTGCAGGCTGTCGGCCATGATATGAAGGGGGCAAAGTATGGAGTTGACATAGTATGAGGACTGATTTGTTTGGATTGGTCACACAAATACAGGACTTTAACCCAGGAGTCTGGGGTTGATGTCCCGATTTTAAGCTAAGTACGTAATGTGACATTACCCAATCATATTTCATTTCCTGAATCTAACCTTAGTGGTAAGGGTGCAAATTCGAGATATCATACAACATTTTCGCATAACTTTTGGTATGATATCACTCTAACGCTTGTATGAAGAAACATAAAACTACATGCAAATGTTTAAAACTGGTGTATGATGGGTCTCTCATCATAACCTCAATCGTTTAGGCATTTCAATAAGTATGGTGTTTGTGTAACCAGTGAGAAGTATAGTTTAGCAGCCCTGAAAAATGCTCATCTGACAAATATCTTTCAAAAGTCAAAGCTTTTTGTGGAGCAAAACGTCTCTTTGTCAGGACTTATGGGTAGCAAAGAGGTACAACAACTTGGCCACAAGAGACCTAGATTCAATTTTAGGCAGGTGGGCCTTGGGAGAAACATTATTGGAAGCAACATAATAAGAAGCAACAGTGGAAACATGTCAGTGCTGCTGCATGACTGCATTAGCTTCTGGGAAAAGGGAAATCTAGCGAAGGTCACCTAAAAGTGTGCACAAGAAATGCACTCAAGACTTTGCCTAAGGTAATGAATACATATATGGTGAGTCTAGTGTAATGGAGGAGGAACATGGAAGGCTGCCAATAAACAGTTGGCAACAATAACGAATCATAGCTATGTCAGGGACTGCACATTTTGAAAGAAAAGCTAAGAAACCCAAAAAGTATCTAGTTTTGTTTCAAACAGATTATGTTTGTTCATCGTGTTCATTCCCTTATAAAGATTCGTACAGCAGAAAAGATGAAATGTTATCCTATTGCAGACAGTACAGTGTGCACTGTCCTTTCTCCACTAATGCTTTAGAGAAGAACTTAATTACCTCCTCTCGAGCTAATAGCAGTGAGAACCCTCCACAGCGGATGGAGGGAAAATGTAATAAAGTCTTGCCTATATAAGGACTTCTCTGTATAAGGATTTGCATAATATTTATGATCTTAAAATCACTTAATACACTGAAAATATATGGGCTTTGACGGGCAATATTCTACATCTGAGCACTGTTTGCATCTTGAGGGAAGGCTTTGGCGACAGTTTCACTTTATGAGAAATGATAAGCTGGCTTGTTGCTTTTTTGTATTTACAGTATCTTAAGGCACAATTTGGATGTCATTCTGCCTTTGGAGAAATAACTGACAGATAGTTTAACATCTTATGAAGAGATTTCAAGATACCTTTCCTCCTTGTTCGACCTAAAAATAGTAACACCTCCTCAAGTTGCCCTACTGTAGAGGCACTCACTTCTTCAACAGAGATACATATTATGTGTACCTGTAATATGAGGAGACCCAACAAGTTATAATGAAGTAAAGATCAGGACTCCAGTTTGAATTTTTAATGTCGCCACATGGACACTTCTGGCAAGACGCCCTTCTTTAGTGTGTATTCTGGCAATGGCAAACAGTATACACAGGTGTGACCCAACAATTGAAAGTATCATCATGACCATCAACACCATCACATTATGGTCATTTTCATTATTATCATAAAGTATCCAAGGAATTAGTCCCTAAACCCAGAAATGAGTTAGCATTTCAGCAGTCCTGGTTTCCTCGTCTTGAAGGCAATGGGTTTCTTGAATGGGTTTGTGGTTCACACAATATTAAGACATTTAAAACATTAAATACATCAGTTTATACCCCACTTGATTTTTTTTCAGCTTTTGTGTCTCCTAAAAAAGGCGGGTGCTAACAAGTTGCTAAAAGAGACTACAGAACGTCAGCGTTAAGGTGCGGCTGTGGTGTAGTTCATTTATAGAATAACGTTAGCTTTACCTCTGGCGATTGCATTTAGGCTTCAAATATTTATGATGATTGATTTGTGATATTGGGCTTTATAAATAAAATTGATTGATTGATTGAAAATTGAAATATCGTGACAGTGGTGTTCATTTGTGGAGATTATCTTGCTGGACAAAACGTGTAAGTATCATAAACGTTTGCTTGCCAGCTTATATTTTGCAATGAGCCAAAATCCAATGGAAAAATCACATAGGCTTTTTTACTAGGAAACCAGGGCGATGCTAATCTCTCAAGACAGATTCTGCAATTTACATTGTAGAATCTGTCGGCAGCCCTGTGTGAAAGACGACTACAGAGGCGGGGAGGGCGGGGCTTTGAGTTTGAACGATGCTGCGCTTTAGCCAATCACAATGGAGGGGGCGTGGCCGAGACATGCAGGTGTCCCCAGGAAATGTGTACCTACAGAAACAGCAAGCTCCGTGCGTCCATAGCGACTGCTCCACCCAAAACGCCGTCTCGTCAATGTGGAAAAAAAATTTTTTTTTCCAGCGGATGTCTGAGTTACAGCTAACTGGAGTAGTTTCATGTCGTATCCGTCAACGGGAGGCTTTTAACAGATGACATCCTGATGTTAGCTTTGCTAACTTTCCCTGTCAGCTGCAGCCACTGCTGCTTTCTAGACATCGTGATTTCCCATAACTGAATAAATACCACACATAGCAACACAAAACTGCTTTGCTAGCTCAATCATGTTGTTACTAAGATATCTGCTGGAAAAAATATTTTATTCATGGACCATTTATTGAGTTATTACCTTATTTTTATACAGTCTATGGTTACTACAGACACCGCTAACAGCTAACGTTAACAGCTAACGGTTAGCCCAGCTAATCTACGATAACCATGTTAATTACAAAACACACAGAAATAGTAACGTTTGTTCAATCATTGTGTTTATAGACTTTACAAACATCAGATTAGTCTACATGGTGATATAGTGACGTGAAAAATGTGATATATAGCTAAACTCTGCTGGTTTTCTACCCAAAGTATTTGTAAACAACACAGCGATTTCCTGGGGGCACCACCGGAAGTTAAGGGCGTGAGCGATCACCAAGGCTCCTGCACTTCCGTTAGTCGAAAAACTCCGGGCTGTGCCTCCAGAGGTAAAGGAAGGGAAAAAAAATTGTTTTTTTATGTGTGCATCTTTTGGTCTATTTATTCCTTTTTGACAGTTAACTGAATATATTTGGGTTGTGGGTTGGACATTTGAGGACGTCATTTTGGGCTTTGTGAAACACTGACTGTCATTTCTCACGTCATTTTTGACATTTTATAGACTGAACAACCAAATGATTGATCGAGAAAATAACTGACAAACTAATCAACAATGAAAATAATTGCCAGTTGCAGTTCTACTAAGCACTTTCTTTTCAGATGTAACAAAAAAAAGGTCTAATTTTGATATCTCTTGCCATCTGTTCA